CCTCGAGCTCAGGCAGGCGCGCACCCTCTCCTCCCCCTCTACCCCGCTTAGCCCCACAACAGCCCCGAGAGGTGGGCCGGGGTCCCAAAGCCCACCCAGAGAGGGCCCACCGGGGACGCTCCGGAGCGAAGGGGGCGGTGGGGGTGTGTGTCAAAGCCCTTTCCCCTAACCCTCTGGTCCCAGATACGGCAGAGAGAAAGAGGCTGGGGGCAGGACAGCGCTCTGTGCATGCTCAGAGGCACGGGTCTCTTCTGCCCCCTCATGATCAGAGATCTTGGCTTCAACGAAATGAGGTCTGGCCTTCATCCCTCCAACAATTGAAAGAGGAGACGCTTCTGAGCGTATGCAGAGAGCCCCCACCTGCGCGCGGCACACACGCCACCCAACTTGGGTCCCCCTCCTCCGGTGTAAGCAGAGGGGAAGGCTGTGCATTTCCGGGAAGAAGGGGCGGCCTTCGGGGATGGCGAAAGGAGACCGAAGCGAGAGGGAAAGCGGGCGCCCAGACCTCTCCCCCCCCCCGTCCTTCCAGAGAGCCGAGCAAGTTTCGCATTGGGATCCTGGTTCAATCCTTCCTTCATGCCTGGCAGGTTCCTCTCACTCGTCTTGCAAAGAACAGGGGTGGTTTAGAGCAGCCCCCCCCCACCAAGGACACCCCCCCATGTCATTCTCACAACAGCCCTGCGAGGGAGGCCTGGCTGGCAGGAAGTCTCACGAGGGAGCCAGGGTTCAGCCCCGAGGACGTGGGCAGCGCCCCACAAAAGCTGCCACCTGAGGACACCCATTCATTTTCACAGCGGGCCAGACAAATGGTGCCTGGGAGGGTGGATTAGCAGGGGCCCTGTCCCACCCCCATTTTAAGGAGGTGCCTTCCTCCTCTTCCATCAGAGGGGCTGAGCTATTCTGACCGTTGAAGGAGGAGGAGGAGGAGGCTGTTGTCCGGCCGCTGACCCTCCCCCCCTCTCCCTAACCCTACCCTTGCCAAAGATCCCTTCCTCTCTGGCAAGGGCAGGGTTAGGGAGAGAGAACCCCTTGTCTGCCCTAATTCTCAAGAGTCCTGTTCTGTAGACTCAGTGAATCCCCAAGACGTCGACATCCTCCTCCTTGAGTAATATCCTGCTCCCCAATTCACTGATTGGTGTGTGTGTGTGTGTGTGTTACACTCACTTTTTCTTTCCATTATAAATAACAGGTACTCCAGCAGGAGGAGGGAGTGCCCCGTCTCTCTGCTGAGAAGGAACAGCTGAAGCAGCAGGACCAGAAGAAGGACGAGCAGGTGTCCCGTCTGCAGCAAGAGGTGCAAGAGCTGAAGGCACAAGTGTCCCTACTTCTCTCCGCTGAGAATCAATGGCTGAAGCAACAGAGCCAAGAGAAGAACGAGGAGGAGACGTCCCGTCTGCTTCAAGAGCTGGAGGGTCAAGGGTCTCCTCTGCAGCAGGAGGTGCAGGATCTGAAGGCACAAGTGTCCTGTCTCTCTGATCAGAACAAAGGCCTGAAGGAGCAAGTGTCCCGTCTCTCCGCTGAGAACCAACAGCTGAAGCAACAGTTCCAAGAAAGGGACAAGCAGGTGTCCCGTCTGCTTCAAGCGGTGCAAGAGCTGGAGGGGGAAGTGTCTCACCTGCAGCAGCAAAACCAGAGGAAGGATGAGCAGATGTCTCACCTGCAGCAGGAGGTGCAGGAGCACAAGAAGGGTCCCGAAGCCTCTGGAGCCCAGCAAACCACCAGATGGCTTTCATGGGTCCGAAGCCAGATTCTTCCTGCCAAAGGTGATCAGATCAGATGAGGAAGAGAATACACACCAGGAAAGGAAGCCTGGGAGAATGAGGAGGAGGAGGGTGCTTGGGAGAGCCCAGAGTCCATCCCACAAGCAGGCTGGGGGGATTCTGGGGGTTGTAGTCCAGACAAGCAGCTTCTTAAGAGTTAAACCCTGCAGTGCAAGCATGCAAGGGAATGTTTCAACTGTTGGGGAACAGAATCCCCTGAAAGCAACAGCTATTCTCCCTCCCCCCTTTCTCTTTCTCCTGCTTAATTAGAGATACTGATTTCTCCCCCCAGTGGGAGAAAACTTCTGCCTGTTCCTTATCAGGACAGGTCAGGCAGCCGACACAGGAGGAGACGTGTCTTTCTTCCAGAGGGGCAGCCTGGACAGTCGGTGGGAACGCAACCGAAGTAGGAGTCTCACGGCTCCTTGGAGGCTAACGGCGGCCTGCGATCCTGTTGGCAGGTCCCTTGCCTGGCTGGGCTTTTTCCAGGCCTTCGCCAAGGAGGTTCCCAGCTTCTCCTTGCCCAGGTGTCAGCCCCACCTGGCCACCTCCATCTCCCTTACCTGTCCTCCTCCTTTCCTACCTCAAAGATTCAGCCTGGAGTTCTCCCATCCTGGCTCCAGGCACCGCACGGGCTTACCCTGAGGAAGGTCTCAGCTCTGTTCCGGCATGGCAACATTCCCTCCTCCTTTCCTGTTTTTCTTTTTCCCCCCGCTCTCCATTCCTTTGCCACTCTCCACCTCTTGCTCCCCAGATCCTAGCAAAATAGCTTTGCCTGGAACCCGCATGAGGAAGCCAGCAATGAGGGAAAAGGGAGTGAGGATGCGGTGGAGCCAAGGGGGCACAGAGAGGGATGAGGGGAAAGGGGAGGGGAGAAAATCCTGCAGACTGGGGGGGGGGGCTAGCTCTCCTCCTGCTCCCACTGGGAGAAACCCGTGTCTTTTTCTGAATGGAAAGAGGTGGTCTCCGGCTTGCTTAAGAACATGCTGGTGATATTCATGGGAGACCTGCAAGAGGGCTGTTCCTTTCTTCCCCGTATTGGATGAGGATCCTGGCCAAGAGGTTTTCCAGGGGCCCCCCGGAAGAGGCCGGAGCTCCCTTGGGGAGGATCCCAAGACCCTGTTTGCAGCCCCCCAAAGCTTCTGACAAATCAAACGTCTTTGTCTTCCTGGTGTGGCCTGGCCCTTCCTCGGTGGATTCTCTGGCTTCATCCCAAAACAAACAGCATTTCTCTCCTGTGTTTGCATATCCTTCATCCTGTCCTGTATCCTGAGATTTCAGGGAGGGATGTCACCAGCAGAACACATTGGGCCCATGGAGACCAATACGGGGAGACGGTGCCTCCAGCAGAAACCCACAGCCCGCCAGGTCTGAACCAGGGGCCGAGGGAAGAGCCAAGCCTGGAGCCCATACAAGCTCAGCATCAGCTTCCCTCAGGCCCTGTGATCATCCTCCTAATTCAGAGGCAAAACTCCCTGCAGTGGCGTACATCTCACCACAAGAACAAGTGTGTCTTCTCTGCAATTGCTGGTCAGCCTGGGCTTTTTTTAGGAAGGGTGGAATTCAGGCTGGCCCCCAGTTTCTCCTCCAGGTGTGAGATGTTAATGGGAATGTTGTCCTCCCCACCTCTTCGCTTGTCTCCCCTTTCCAGACATCATCATCGAGGTCCGGATGGCTGGGAAGACAGGTGGCTGTGAGATGAAGCTTCTAGAGGATGTCTCCGAGCGCCTGGCCCAAGAGGGAGTCTCTCTAAAAGTGAGGAGGTTCACAGAGAGGTTGTCGGAGCACCTCCTTCTCGTTTTCTGCCCCATCGCTTCTCGGATGGTTACTGACATTGAAAACGCCCTCGAGGGACTCAGTGGTAAGTAGTCGGTTTGCAGAGGGGGGGGGAGATGGGATGGGGGTAGCCTCTCTGTGTCCCTCTCTGACTGTCAGACTGCTGGTAGATTTTGGAGGTAACCTCAGGGGGAAGAATGTCATGAAAGCCCACACATTTTCTCCTCTTTGATTGGATCTTGATGCACCATCGAAAAATTGACAACTGCTGGGTGAGTTTTAGCTTCTGCACAAGAGTGGAAAGGCTAGCCCTGTTTTGTTTGAGTAGCAACAGTAGGAAAAACAGATAACGTTTTGCATAGAATGAATGGCCCTTTCTCCAAAATAGAATGAGGTCTTTTTCTGTTTTATTGGGGAAAAGTCCAAAAGTCCAGAAATGCGAACAATGCACCAAATTTCACATCATCTTTGAAATACTTCATCTTCCTACAAACGGAGGTGATTGGAGGGGACTCTGTAGTAAGATCAGAGGGAACTCAAACACAGGGGAAAGCGCTGATTAACGAGCACCTTTTTTGCTAGGAGCCTTTCCCTGTCTTGGCCATGAGCAAGCTCATTTGCAGTCACTGGCTCAAATCCTGTTCGGGGACCCTGTGGGCGTAAGGGCACATGACATTATCAGCTGCCGGCATTATTCTGTAAAGCTTCCTAGCCCCCCCTTCCCTCAGTTTTCGAGGCTCCCTAGAGACTGAATGGAACCTTTGGGAGCCTTGGGAAACCAACCTCAGGGCCAGGGGAGCCTCTAATGCTGAGAAACTACCACCACTGTTCCTGGCAGCAACTTTTCTTGGAACCGAAAGGCTCCCCACATCCTGAGGCTCCCAAAGGGTTCCCCAGAGAGCTTTGGAAGCCCACTTTGGATGGAAAAGGAAATTTTAAATGAAAGAGGAAGGTCTCTGGCTGAAGGGCGTCATCAGCCCTTTTGGCCCCTGGATTGACTCAGCAAGGTGTTGCCGGCCTCCTTGCCCCATACGTAAATATTTGCAGGCATAGGAGGTCACTTGAGAGGCTCACAATGGCTGGGCCCTGGTGGAAGCTGTGGGTCCAGAAAGATAAACGTGGGAAGGCCACGTCCGAGCTGGAACCTCAACGTGCCTCGGAAAAAGAGAGAGCGAAACAAAGGCTGGGATGAAGCATCAGCACCAAACCACCACCCCCTTGCCCCGAGCCAGGCCTATACAAGTCTCCCTGGAGGCCACGTCCGAGCTGGAACCTCAACGTGCCTCGGAAAAAGAGAGAGCGAAACAAAGGCTGGGATGAAGCATCAGCACCAAACCACACACCCCCTTGCCCCGAGCCAGGCCTATACAAGTCTCCCCGGTA